TTTTCTGTGCAGAAAACACATTTAAGGAAACATTTTCATATAGAAAACATTATCGGCAGAGTAAAATCACTTGACGAAAGTTTTCTGTATAGAAAAGTCACTTGACGAAGCTTTTTTGAATATAGAAGTCATTTAACGAACTTTTCTTTAGGGGAAATTTACTTAACGAAATGTTTCTATCTGGAAAAGTTACTTAACGAAACTTACCTAGAGGAAAAATTACTTAACGAAACTTTCTATAGAAATGTTACATAACGAAACTTTTCTATATAAAAAACGAAACGTTCTATACGGAAAGTCACTTAACGAACCTTTTCTATATAGAAAAGTCACTTAGCGAAACTTTTCTGTATAGAAATGTCACTTAACGAAACTTTTCTATATAGAAAATACACTTAACGAAACTTTTCTATATAAAAAAGTCACTTAACGAAACTTTTCTATATAGAAAAGTCACTTAACGAAACTTTTCTATATAGAAAAGTCACTTAACGAAACTTTTCTATATAGAAAAGTCACTTAACGAAACTTTTCTATATAGAAAAGTCACTTAACGAAGCTTTTCTGTATAGAAAAGTCACTTAACGAAGCTTCTCTATACAGAAAAGTCACTTAACGAAACTTTTTTATATATATAAAAAAGTCACTTAACGAAACTTTTCTATATAGAAAAGTCACTTAACGAAACTTTTCTATATGGAAAAGTCACTTAACGAAATTTTTCTATATAGAAAAGTTACTTAACGAAACTTTTCTATATAGAAAAGGCACTTAACGAAACTTTTCCATATAGGAATGTCGCTTAACGAAACTTTTCTTTTGTTTTCCACATCATAAAGTCACATAACGAAACTTTTGTAATGAGGAAAGACACTTGACGAAACATTTATACACAAAAATCACTTAACGAAACGTTAACCTGGAGAAAAGTCACTTAACGAAAGTTTTCTGTAGAGAAAAGTCACTTAACGAAACTTGTCAATATAGAAAATACACTTAAAGAGACACTTTCCACGGAGAAACCCCACTCAACGAAATTTTACTTTAGTATTCCACATCAAAAAGTCACTTAACGAAATTTTTTTAAAGAGGAAAGTCACTTAACGAAACTTTTCTTCTTCACTTAACGAACATTTCCATAGATAACAAACCCATAACGAAACATTTCTATAGATAACAATCACTTAACGAATCTTTTCTGTATAGAAAAAATCACTTAACGAAACATTCTTGGACAGAAAACTCACTTAACGAAACTTTTTTTTATTTTGCCAAACCAATTTGACGAAATATTTTATTAGAAAAATACACTTAAAGAACATTTTCTATATCAAAAAATTACTTGACGAATTTTCCCATTAAGGCCCACTGTCTCTTGCATCGATTCTACATCGAAGCCACTCCATTATAAAGACTTCCGTTACTTTATTTTTTTCGGTTAGTTGAATAAAGCAACAAATATCCTCTACTGAAACTTTAAGCTTGTTGACGATGTATTTGTTGCTGTTGTTGTTGTAATTTCACTCGAGCAGTAACAAAAACCACATATCGTTGTAGATGCAACCAACCATCCGACCGACCAACCAGCCAACCGAACCACTCACCGGAAAGACACACATCGCACCCAAAAACAAAAATCCTTTTCACATAACGAAACACCAAAGTGTTGGTCCTTTCTCCTTACAGCTCTCCTCATTCGGCCACCAATACCCCGTGTGAGACATGGTGTGTGGCGCACACACGAGAACCCCACGCGTGATGGAAGATAAATTAAATTTTGTGGTTTGATTCTGTTTTTCGGTAAATGGGCAATCAATGGTTTGATTCATTCATTCGGCTATTCGCCCCGGCGTTCTATGGGCCATTCATTTATACAGGCAGGCAGTCATTCAGTCGTTCATTTGGCCATTCAGGCTGGCATTTTGTGGGCCCCGGTTAACTTATTCTTTAGTTATTTAAGGCGGCTCGACCGGGTAGCTGGCGAATCGTTGCGATGTTTGATTGTGTCTCTGAGCTTCCATTGAAAAAGAAGAAAATCGAAACGGAATGCTGGAAATAAAGGATTTTCCTACCGGCTAACAAAGAATTAAAAGGGGTGGTGCATGGTCCCCAGTGGGGGTGGGGGAGCAGATGATTCCGATAGGACACACTTTTCTCATTCAGACGATGAACGAGTCGATGGCAAAGTGTGGTGTGAAGAATTGGCTTGAAGTTGTGATAGTAGTTTTGTTGTTATTGTTGGCAATGGTGAGCTTTTCCTTTTTCACATTTCGCTTTTCATTTGACTACTATTGTTGTTGTAGTTATTGTTGATGTTGTTGTTATTTCGGCCATTGTAACATATAATTCGTTTGTATTGTTCGCCGGTTAATCTAATCGGAATTTTTATGGGCCTTTCAAACATAAAATTAAATGTTGATGTGTGTGGTTGGTTGTATGTTAATGTTGTATGGCACTTGTCGGTCAAACAAATCTGTAGTTTTTGGTGGCAAAAATAAATCGAAGAGAGAATGAGAGAGATAGTTGGAGAGTGTGAGAGAGAGGCTAAATATCTGCCTATAATGAAATAATGCATAAATTTTAATTTTAAAGTCACTAGGAATAACTTAACGAAGGTGTATAAATTGAATATTTTCTTCGTTAAGTTTAATTACCTTAATAAAAAGTTTCGTTAAGTGGATTTCCTATAGGAAAAAGTTTCGTTACGTGGGTTTTCTATACAGGAACCTTGCTTTAACAAATATTTTTACATAAAAGGAAGTTTCGTCAAGTGCTTTTTAATGTAGATAAGTTTCGTTAAGTGAGTTTTCTTTTAGGAAAAGTTTCGTTAAGTGGAATTTCTACATAGAAAAGTTTCGTTAAGTGAATTTTCTTTGAATTAATGTATCGTTAAGGCGATTTTTTATATAGAAAGGTTTCGTTAAGTGAGTTTTCTATACAAAAAATGTCGTTAAGTGGTTTTTATATACAAAGAAAAACCTTCGTTAAGTTAGTATTTTTCATAAAAAGTTTTATTAAGTGGATTTTGTCTATCAACAACTTTCGTTAAGTGGATTTTCTATACAGAGAAGTTTCGTAAGGAAACTTTTATATACAGAAAAGTTTCGTTAAGTGGATATTAAGTGCAGTTTCTTTAAACAAAAAGTTTCGTTAAGTGAGTATACTTCACAAAGAGTTTCGTTAAGTGGATTTTGTCTACCAAAAAGTTTCGATAAGTGGATTTTTCAAACAGAAAAGTTTCGTTAAGTGGATTTTCTATAAAGAAAAGTTTCGTTAAGTAATATTTCTGTACAAAAAGTGTCGTTAAGTGCAGTTTATTTAAACAACAAGTCTCGTTAAGTGAGTATTCGTTATAAACAGTTTTGTTAAGTGGATTTTGCCTACCAAAAACTTTCGTTAAGTGGATTTTCTATACAGAAAAGTTTCGTTAAGTGGATTTTGTCTACCAAAAACTTTCGTTAAGTGGCTTTTATATACAGAAAAGTTTCGTTAAGTACTATTTCTGTACAAAAAGATTCGTTAAGTGCAGTTTTTTTAAACAAAAAGTTTCGTTAGGTGAGTATTTTTCATAAAATTTTTCGTTAAGTGGATCTTGTCTACCAAAAACTTTTGTTAGGTTAGTTTTCTATGCAAAAAAAGTTTCGTTAATTAACATTTCTGTACACAAAGTGTCGTTAAGTGCAGTTTTTTAAACAAAAAGTTTCGTTAGGTGAGTATTTTTCATAAAATGTTTCGTTAAGTGGATTTTGTCTACCAAAAACATTCGTTAAGTGGATTTTTCATATAGAAAAGTTTCGTTAAGTGGATTTTGCCTACCAAAAACTTTCGTTGTGCCGCTTTTATATGCAACAAAAACGTTCGTTAAGTGACTTTTCTATACAAAAAATTTTCGTTAAGTAATATTTCTGTACAAAAAGTGTCGTTAAGTCCAGTTTTTTTTTTACCAAAAATTTCGTTAGGTGAGTATTCTTCATAAAGAGTTTCGTTAAGTGGACTTTGTCTACCAAAAACTTTCGTTAAGTGGCTTTTCTATACAGAAAAGTTCCGATGGGTGGATTTTGTATAAAAACAAGTTTCGTTATGTGGGTTTTCTCTATATAAAAGTTTCGTTAAGTGGTTTTTATATACAAAATCTTTCGTTAAGTGAGTTTTCTATAAAGAAAAATTTCGTTAAGTGATATTTTTATACAAAAAAGTCACGTTAAGTCCGTTTGTAGACAAAAAAAGTGGCATTAAGTGGCTCTCATATATACAAAAGTTTCGTTAAGCTGGTTTTTATATAAAAAGATTCGTTAAGTGTTATTATTTTTTACAGATAAGTTTCGTTAAGTAAACTTTCAATACAGAAAAGTTTCGTTAAATAGAATTTCAATACAGAAAGTTTCGTTAAGCGGGTTTCGTATACAAAAAAGCTTCGTTAAGTGAGTTTTACTGTACAGAAAAGTTTCGTTAAGTGAAAAGCTTCGTTAAGCGGTAGACAAGTTTCGTTATGTATATTTTCATAACAAAGAGTTTCGTTAAGTATAATTTCATTACAAAAAGTTTCGTTAAGTAGGTTTTTTACACAAAAAAAGTTTCGTTAAGTATGTTTTCTATACAGAAAATTTTCGTTAAGTTTTTTTAGTCTACAGAAATGATTCCGTAAGTAGTATTTGTATTAAAAAAAGTTTCGTTAAGTGGTTTTTGTATATAGAAAAGTTTCGTTAAGTTAATTTTCATAACAAAAAATGTTCCGTTAAGTAAGTTTCTATGCAGAAAATATTCGTTACGTATTTTTCTATACAGTAAAGTTTCGTTATTGCTCTATTATTAGATTATCACTTCACACACACCAACAACAACAATAATTTGCCAACATAGGTAATTCAATTTTTTAGTAGAATTTTTTTTTTCTGTTATTTTAATTCGCTCTTAATCTTATCTTTATTTGTTTACAATTATAAATCAAATTTTATTTGCCTTCCGAATTTACAATTTTTTCACCGAACCACTTCACGTCACGTTTCACGATAAGGTATCACAAGCCTTTAGACCCTCACCAATACAGGCGGCATAGGCCATCATATGTGGTATGGTATTTTGTTCATAGACACCGGTAAAGAGATGAGACCATGGTCCCGAAGCAAATACGCCAACATCTTCACCACCATGGGTCTCCGTGGACAATGGCACCGTGGCGGGGAACACATCCTTTGCGGCACCGGTCAATACCAAATTGGGGTCAATACGCTGAGTGGCCTTTTCATTGACATATTCCGAGTAGGAGGGGCCATTGGCATAGCTGAGCGGTGAATAGTCCATGCCATCAACATTCGAATTGCGTAGACTGAAAATGTCCGAGCCACGATTTTGATAACCAGCCACACTGAAGGTGTGCGAGTGATCGGAGGTCACGACAATGAGGGTATCTTCTTCGCTGGTCATTTCTCTAGCCATGGCAATGGTTTCGGAAAATTCTTTCGTTTCATCCAAGGCCATGCGTGCCTTGTTCGAATGATGCCCCAAATCAATTTTACCACCCTCCACAAAGAGGAAATAGCCCTGTTCATTGTCCTGTTCTAAAAATTCAATGGCCTTTTTGGTCATTTCCGCCAAAGTGGGTTGGGTGTTGGAGGGATTGGCCACCGCTTCCAGGTGGTAATCCATGTGATTGCTGCTGAAGGTACCCAACAAACGATCGATTTGTGTCAGATCCACATTAGCCAATTCTTCACGGGTCTCAACATAGGCATTGCGTGGGGATTTTTCTAAATACTCTTCGATGAGATTGCGGCCATCGGTACGCAAACCTTTGCTGTAGATTGTCTTGTCAAAGAAATTTCGCTTGCCACCACCCATCATGACCTTTAGACGGGATCCAACCGCACCATGGATCAGCTGGACAGCAATATCATCGAGGCCATTGTCTGGACCACAATCGGCCTCAAGATCATCATTATTTTCCCAAACACGGTCGGCAGTGTGAGCATAGACCCCAGCCGGGGAGGCATGGGTAATACGGGTGGTGGTAACAAAGCCGGCAGATTTTCCCGCATCCATGGCCCATTTGGCAATGGAGTAAACATGATTGGAGGTATTACGCATAGCTTCACAATTATCCCGACCGACATGGGCATTGACACCAATGGTACCATAATTGGCCTTAACACCGCACAAATAGGCTGTGGCCGTGGTTGCCGAGTCTGGGGTAATTTTATCCACACTGTAGGTTTTCGAAAGGCCAGTATAGGGGAATTCTTCAAACGACAACTTCGTGTGTTCACCATCAATGTAGTTGCGGGCCGCTACCAGGGTTGTCAAACCCATCCCATCACCCAAAAACATTATCACGTTCTTGGCCACCTTCGTATTTTGTTGTTGCCGCTGTTGTTGTTTGATGAACTCCTTGCCCTGATTTAACCAAAATTCTTGGGTATCTTCACCCACCCGTCTCAATGATCTGGCATCGAAGTGATCATTCCGCAAATCGGGATGCATTAATTTATCTTTTAAATCCTCTTCATCCTGTTGGGGGCTGCAGAGAACCGTTTGTATCAGGAGTAGGCCCAAAATCGTAATCTTAAGGGAGAACTCCATTGCGAACCACCTCTTCGAGCAAAATTTTCCGTTCAACTAAATCGAAATTGTCCAATACATGGGCCTTAAGTAGAACTTGTTGTTGTTGTTGGCGTCGCTTGACGCCTCTACTTCGCACGTCTTCGTCTCTGCTGTCACTTCACATCGATAGCTGTCAAATTAACTAACAATTTTTCTCAATGGCCGATAATTTTGTTAAACAGATTATCGCAATGTTGATCTTTGTTCGGAAATCACTCTTTTTTTTGGTAATATTGGCCACTTGTGATAATGAAATCAGTGACGGTGACGTCGAATAGCAAAAAAAAGAAGCGTGCTAATAAAGGAGGGTGTGGGGGCAAATTTCTTAGGATTCAAAATTAAAAGTTGTGGATTTTTTTAAAAAATATTTTTGGGGTCCTACACAAGGCGCGGATTTTTTAAAAAATATTTTTGGGGTCCTACACAAGGCGTGGATTTTTTAAAAAATATTTTTGGGGTCCTACACAAGGCGTGGATTTTTTAAAAAATATTTTGGGGTCCTACACAAGGCGTGGATTTTTTAAAACTTATTTTTTAGGGTCCTACACAAGGCGTGGATTTTTTAAAAAATATTTTTGGGGTCCTACACAAGGCGTGGATTTTTTAAAACTTATTTTTTAGGGTCCTACACAAGGCGTGGATTTTTTAAAACTTATTATTTAGGGTCCTACACAAGGCGTGGATTTTTTAAAACTTATTTTTTAGGGTCCTACACAAGGCGTGGATTTTTTAAAACTTATTTTTTAGGGTCCTACACAAGGCGTGGATTTTTTAAAACTTATTTTTTAGGGTCCTACACAAGGCGTGGATTTTTTAAAACTTATTTTTTAGGGTCCTACACAAGGCGTGGATTTTTTAAAACTTATTTTTTAGGGTCCTACACAAGGCGTGGATTTTTTAAAACTTATTTTTTAGGGTCCTACACAAGGCGTGGATTTTTTAAAACTTATTTTTTAGGGTCCTACACAAGGCGTGGATTTTTTAAAACTTATTTTTTAGGGTCCTACACAAGGCGTGGATTTTTTAAAACTTATTTTTTAGGGTCCTACACAAGGCGTGGATTTTTTAAAACTTATTTTTTAGGGTCCTACACAAGGCGTGGATTTTTTAAAACTTATTTTTTAGGGTCCTACACAAGGCGTGGATTTTTTAAAACTTATTTTTTAGGGTCCTACACAAGGCGTGGATTTTTTAAAACTTATTTTTTAGGGTCCTACACAAGGCGTGGATTTTTTAAAACTTATTTTTTAGGGTCCTACACAAGGCGTGGATTTTTTAAAACTTATTTTTTAGGGTCCTACACAAGGCGTGGATTTTTTAAAACTTATTTTTTAGGGTCCTACACAAGGCGTGGATTTTTTAAAACTTATTTTTTAGGGTCCTACACAAGGCGTGGATTTTTTAAAAAATATTTTTGGGGTCCTACACAAGGCGTGGATTTTTTTAAAACATATTTTTGGGGTCCTGCACAAGGCGTGGGTATTTAAAAAAATATTTTTTTTTGTAACAAATATTTTTACTGATTGCATCTTAACCTCCATAATTTTTTCTCAGAATTTTTTTTCAGATCTTTTGGAGATATTCTGTCAATCTTGATATAAAATTCTGAAAACCCCATTCCAAGAAATTTCGACACTACGTCACTAATTGGGCAAAAAGTAACCACTTCGTTTTCTCTGTCACAAAGATTGACATAATCGGCAAATGAATATGGCCTTTAAAATACCTGACCACCGATAAGAGGGCACGACAAAAAAAAAAAAAACGTTTTCAAGCATCTGCAAATTGGAGATAAGATTTCTAATTTCATAAAAAAAAATTCTATAAATTTTAAAGCAATAAATAAAACCCCTTTAGTATGTCAAAGAATTTTGACCAGAACGTTGCGACAGAGACCAGGACAAAATGAGGTCTAAAGTGGTGGTAGTGATACTCGTCATGTCCTGCCTTTTGTTGGGACTGGCCCAAGCCGAACATGATCCTGATCATCCAAATTTCCCCAGCCCGAGGGCATATACCATGGCCACCGAGGAGGCGGATACGCAATTTTGGGTAGATAAAGCCCAAAATATTCTGGCCCATAAACTACAGGCCTATAATCAGCTGAACAACAAAAGGGCGAAGAATATTATTCTCTTCTTGGGTGATGGTATGTCGGTCCACACTGTGACAGCTACCCGTGATTTTATGGGTGATAGCAGTATGCAGGTGTCATTCGAAAAATTCCCCTATACCGGATTATCGAAGACCTATGCTGTGGATAAACGCACGCCCGATTCAGCCTCAACGGCCACGGCTTATTTGAGCGGAGTGAAGGGTAACTATGGTACGATTGGGGTGAATGCTAAGGTTCCCAAATATGATTGCTACAAGGCCAACGACACATCGACTCACACCGAAAGTTTGGCTAAATGGGCTCAGGATGCGGGGAAATGGGCTGGTTTGGTAACCACTGCTCGAGTGACACATGCCTCACCGGCTGGTGTCTATGCCCACACTGCCAACCGTGCCTGGGAATATGATGAGGCCATTATTGAGGATGGTTGTAGCCCGGAGATAAATGTTGATATTGCACGCCAACTGGTGGAATGGCCCGTGGGTAAGGAGCTACGTGTGGTCTTGGGTGGTGGACGCCGTAACTTCCGTGACAAAACCATGAATGACGAAGAAGGCCAACCCGGTTTGCGTAGTGATCGTCGGGATCTAATCAAAGAATGGTTGGATGGCAAACGTGCTGAAAAGAAATCCGCTGAATATGTTTGGTCCAAGAAGGGTCTGGAAATGGTGGACATAAGTAAAACGGAATATCTTATGGGGCTGTTTAGTCCATCCCATTGTCCATATCATGGTGATTTGAAGAGGAATCGCTTGGAAAATTCCGATCCTTCATTGTCGTTGATGACCCAAAAGGCCATTGAGCTGTTGAGTAAAAATGAAAAGGGATACTTCTTGTTTGTGGAGGGTGCCCGCATCGATATGGCTCATCATGATTCGAGGGCGCATAAATCTCTCGAGGATACTGAGCAGTTTGCCAAGGCTGTTGAATTGGCAAGGAATATGACCAGTGAAGAGGATACTCTGATTGTGGTGACATCGGATCATTCGCATACCATGTCGCTGAATGGTTATCCGGTAAGTTTTGGTCTTGAAAATATTTTCTAAAAAAATTCACACCTTATGAAGGACCCTCAAAATATTTTTTAAAAAATATACGCCTTATAGAGGACCCTTATTTTTTTAATCTTCGTTTTTTATAAAAATTAATAATTTTTTCTAATTTATTTTTTTTATTTCCAGTATCGTCGTCAAAACATTTTCGAATTGGCCCCCGGTAAGGCCTCCGATGGCTTGCCCTATACCATTCTCTCCTATGCCAATGGCCCTGGCTACTCGAAAACGTTCTCCTCAAAGACAGGACGTCGCGACTTGAGGAAATATGATACACAGGATCCTTCTTATCGTTTTATGGCCACTGTACCCCTGAACTCGGAAACCCATGGTGCCGATGATGTTGGTGTTTTTGCTTCGGGTCCCATGGCCCACTATTTTGTCGGCAATTATGAACAGACTAATATTCCTGCAACTATGGCCCATATTGCCAATATTGGTCCCTTTGCTGATGATAAACTTTAAGCAGATTTTAATCTCCTGTTCAATTTTTAAGGTACTCCAATCCTAAATAAATAAAAATATAGTTACAGAGAATAGCATCGACTATTATTATTTACAAAGGACTTGATGGCGAATATTTGACAAAGGATATCCTCTTTTGTATTTATTTTCCTTACCATTGTTTTTGTTATTATTATTGTTGTTGTTGTTCGTGTTACAAAAGGTGTTAGAATTATATTTACCTTTTGGTTTTCTGGATACATATTCACAAGTCAAGTATTGTATTACAAGGATAATGCCACATTTCGACTACCTGCTGGAGGCGTTATCCCAACATTTCAATATCAGATTCTTGTATGCAAAAAAAAACAACGAAAGCAAAAACTTCGAAACTTACCGTCTAAGTAAATATTGAAATTTCTTTGCTGTTGTTGATAAAGGCAAAAGGTTAAGTTTTCTAGTGGCTCGATACTTTGTCTAGAAATTGATTACAATGTTTGATAGACTAAGTCATACATAAGGAGGGGAGGCGGGCATGACTTGTCAAAAGTGCTGATAAAAGGGAAAATAAATTAAAGACAACAAAAACTACGGCAGCAGTATTTAAAAATTAAAACAATGTTTTTTTTTAATTATATTTTTTTAAATATATTTTTCGAGAACCCTGAGCACCTCATAACCTTGACTAGCCTCTACATAGATTTGTGGCAACTAAACATACCTATATGGGACTCTGTGTTAATACTCACCAACCATTCGGATCACCACACCAGCTATACGGACCTCTATAGAGCTACGCACCAGCTATACGGACTTCTATAATGATCCGCACCAGCTATACGGACCTCTATAGAGCTCTGCACCACCTATACGGTTCTATATAGAGCTCCTCACCAGCTATACGGACATCTATAGATCTGCGCACCAGCTATTAGGACCTCTATAGAGATTCGCACCAGTTATACGGACTTCTTCAGGGCTCCACATAAGCTCTACGCCAGCTAGTCGGACTTCTATAAAGCTATAGAGCTCCACACTAGTTATACGGACCTCTATAGAGCTCCTCACCAGCTATACGGACCTCTATAGAGCTCCTCACCAGCTATACGGACCTCTATAGAGCTCCTCACCAGCTATACGGACCTCTATAGAGCTCCTCACCAGCTATACGGACCTCTATAGAGCTCCTCACCAGCTATACGGACCTCTATAGAGCTCCTCACCAGCTCTATAGAGCTCCTCACCAGACCTCAATAGAGCTCCGCAACCAGCTCTACGCAACTCTATAGAGCTCCGCATTAATTCTACCACCTCTATAGAGCTCCGCAACAGCTATACGGATCTCTACAGAGCTCCGCAAAAGCAAT